TGCTGGATTGATTTCTCATGGTCCCTTAGTATTTTAAAGAAATTTTTCTTTTCCTGGTCATTAATTGCAATCTTATCTTCTGTATCTGAAATTCTGTCCTCACATTGGCTCATTCTGCTGTGTAAACTTTCTGTGGCATTTTTAATCTCCTGGAAATCTGTTTGCATCTGTTTTATATATTACATTTGTTGAATCTGTAGAACACATCTTAACAATATTAAGTCTTTCCGTCTCTAAACCTGAGTGTCTTTACTTTTATATTTGCATTCTCTTTTGTTTCTTTCAGTAATAGTTCCATGAACAATTCTGCACTTCCTTGGTTAAACTTATTCCTAGGCATTTTATTGTTTTAGATACCACTGTAAATGGCACTGTTCTCTTCATTTCCTTTTCAAATTATTCCTTGTTCATGTAGAGAAAAAATAACTAATTTTTATGTCTTGTGTTATAGCTTGTATCTAGATGTCTCCTCCAAAGCCTCATGCAGTCATAGGTGGAGCTTTTCAGAGGAGGCTGGATCTAGAGCTTGTGATGCTGGAATCAAGCATGTGTGGTTACTAAATTAGTCCACTGATAGGTTTGGCATAGTTCTGGGTAGGATTAAGGGTGCACCAGCCTGGGTGCAGGTAGCCTGGATGGAACATAAGGGACAGAAAGAGGGTGTCACTTGGCTTGCTGCCTTCTGCCTGCCATGAACTGTTTCTCCTCTGCAATGTCCCTCTTTCATGTCACCTTGCCTTGCACCCAGCTGCCTATGAACTGAAACCTGCACAAACTGTGAGCTATAGTAACCTTTACTCCTTTAACTTTAGGTGTTAGGTATTTTGTCTCAGCAATGAATTAAAGTAACTAAGACACCACTAACTTACAGCTTTGCTACATTAATTTCTTAGCTCTACCAGCTTTCATGTAAATTCTTTGGGATTTCTTTTGTACCAGGGATCGAACTCGGGACCTTGCGTTTGCAAGGCAGGTGCCAGAACCACTGAGCTAAATCCCAACCCTCTTTGGGATTTTTAACCTATAGGATCATGTAATCTCTGCACAGAGACACTTTTGCTTTTTTCCTTTTCCATTTCTGACACATTTTAATTTAGTTTTCAGGTCAAATTGCTCTGATTAGGATAAGAATTGCAGTACAATGTTGTAAATAGCAGGGAAGCAGTTACTCTTGTCTTGTTCCTGATCTTTGGGGGAAAGACTGTACTCAGTCTTTCACCAGTGAATATGGTGTCAATTGCAAGCTTTTCAAAAACCATAAAATATATAAAATGACTTAGTATTACCTCATATTCTCACTCTTAAGTATTCTGGAGCCCATGGCAAACTTCAGGCTGATGCATAAAGGAATTACTTGTAAAAACTCCAGCACAATCAAGGGTGCCTCAGTGCTTTTGTGAGTGAAAGACATGATTTATAAAAATATTATTAAAAATCAGCTATTACAGCCACAACCTCTAAGATAATTAAAACCATTATCAGGATAAACAGAACCCAGACTTTGGACAAAAAGACAGTCAGCAGACCATTCTGCTCACCACATTCAAAGAGGCCTGAAGCTCAGGAAGAAGTGCACAGGTTTAAAATGTAAAGAAACAGGAAATGAATAGAGGTTGGAAACAAAATCCATTACTATCAAAATTTTGTACTATAGTATCAGGCGCAACAGCACACATCTGTGACGCCAGCACTCTCAGAGGCTGAGACAGGAGGACTGCAGTTGCACCTCACTTAGCAAGGCCTTTCCTCAAAACAAAAATTTTAAAAAGGCTAGGGATGTAGCAAACTGTAAAGACCCTGGGATCAATCCCCAGTTCCATCCCCCACCCCACCCTCTAAAATTGTACTATAGTTTAAAAATGGACAGTCAAGGTAAAGCTTTGACTACAAAGAAAAGGCTCTGTCTTTAAAAACTTGGGCAACTTTCTGTTTTTGTAGGTTGGAAGCTAAGGCTCAGCACTACTCCAGGGTGTGGGCAGCAAACAGAAGGGGTCACTGCACACAGTAGGAACCTGAAGTCCAGAGAAACATGGACAACTTTTAGAACCAGAGAGGTAAGAAAAGTCAGGAGAGCTAGAGTGAGGAGTCTAGGAAATCCAGCAGGAGCAGGAAGGAATTTGCTGATATCAAGCAACAAAGGGGAGTGAAGTCTAAACTTGAAACTACCAGCCAGAGACAACAGTGAGCCTGACCCCAGAACATACATTTTTGCTTTCTGAATGAATCTTTGAATTTCTGGTTCTCCTATCAAAGAATGATTACCCAATAACGTTGTTTCTTAAAATTAAAGGGAATAAATAAAAACTGTTAGAATGGCTGGTACTGCATCTCTGAGGCAGGAAGCACTATTTACTGAGAGTGTTTTTTAACCATAGGAGTGCAGTTTTTAACTCAAGAGGTAAACACTCCTGATCAGGAAGACCCAACACTTCAAACTAACCAGAGATTCTTACTGCCCTCTCCTCACACCACCAAAGTATCTTTGCTTCTTTCAAGAAGCTTGGCTTTGTAGGTGGGACAAGGGACACTCTGGGTCCACAAAAATGAAAAGGAAGCCATCTGATTGGTCCTAAGACTTGGCAGATATTTCTCTATCTTAGCACCAGAGCAACTGCTAGGGAGATTTTATTTAAAATCTGATAAGGCTGTTATGGTTAGATTTACAGATTTATTGATTTATTGAATATTTGAAGGAATCCAGGACATTGTGTGGTTTGCAGCAACAAGGGCAGGGTAGTTCTGTGGTAGGTGAGTAGAGAGGACTGTTGCAGATCAAAGCCTGCAGGGTAGAGGGAGAGGCTTATTAGATAAAATGGGAAGGGCATTCAATATTGCATTTCTCTGCTACTATCTAAAGTCTGGATTCCCCACTCCATCCCACTAGCAAAATTCACTAAAACATCGTACACACTACTACAGGTGGTAAGACACAGCACCAATAATCACAATACAGAGTGAAGAAGTAAAATATCATTAAATACTCAAGAGAAAGGAGAAATTACCTCTGGCAGGAGAAATCAGGCTACGTTCCAAAACTGATGTAGCAATTCTGAGTTCAGTGTGAAGAAAGGAATCAGGGTCAGCAAGAACCCAGCATCTTGGTAAGAAAAGATGAGACACACAGAAAAGTGTGAATAGGTACATTTGGCAGGAGCAGCAGAAATTAGGATGGTCAGGGCCAAAGTTAAAAAAGAGACCACAAACAGCTCTTCCCAGCCTAAGGAACCAACTACAGACACTTTAAACATCCAAAAGACAAGTCAAAGCAGGGTAAGCGATTGTACTTCTATGAGAAAGAAGGCTCAATTAGGAGAGACCCTAATGCAAGTTTAAAACAAGAGCCAAGTCATGAGTCACACATGGATGAGTAACAGTAAGACATGTACACAGAATTAATTTAGGGCTGCAAATAGGTTCTCTGAGTTGGGACTGAACTACAGCTGAGGAAGCAGGGTCAGGACCAGTGACAGTAATGCACAGTGAGTCACTAGTAAATCAATGACACAGGTCTTCGCCCCAGGGCAGTGAGCTCAGGCTGGCCTGTGTAATGGCAGGATGGCTGCGTCTCGGCCAGGTCAGCCCACCAGGACACCTGAAGATTCCGTGATGTTGGGAACAGAACAGCAAGTACAGCCAAAGGGGGATCTAAAAACTCCCATGATGCTTTCATGATATTAAGCTAAAAATGTCTTAAATCTCATCAGGTTTTAGATTATAAACATTTATGTATGACATTCACAAGTTTGTCAGGGTCAGAATAGCTATGCCTTAAACATTTGAGGTATATTCATACCTGTGAATCATAACTGCTGCTACAAATCTATTCTGGGTGAAGCGTTCCACATTTTACATCACTGCTGCAGGAAAGCTTCCCTGACAACACAACAGGACAGATCAGACCACAAGTAAATGTTTATTCATTCTCCTGTATTTGTAGCAATTGCACCACTGTCTATTAGAATGTAAGCTCTATGCAGTCAAAACTGTACATCCACTGCTATGTCTTTCAATACCAAATAAATACTATATGCTAAATGTGTTGATTGAATACATGTATTGATTTTTTAGTGTGGGTTTTAGCTAGCATAAAATTTATAATATCTAGTGTATAATAAGATTGGTAATAAAGAAGAGGGGAGAGACAGTGATCAACTGATCTCTGCCACGTGTATGCCTCTGTGTGTGTGTGTGTGTGTGTGTGCGCGCGTGCAGGCGCGCGCACACATGTGTATGTATTTGTATTATACTGGGAACTGATCAACCTTTTAACATTGTTTTCATTAATTAAATGTGCTAAACCAAAATATTCAGAAGGAAGGTGACTGCCCTCATCAACATGAGAAAACAAAACAAAATATCTGATAATTATTCAGGAGTTCTCTGTTTCTACTTATAGGATCAGAATATATTGAGTTTGCAAGAAACTGACAATGTAAGCAATTCTGAAGCAAGCAAAAAACTCCCAGTAAAAATGTGTCCTTTCAATAAATCTATGCAAAGGAGAAAATAGTAAAAACATAAACACAAAAGTAATTTCTTAGCTTTGAAGTGAGTACACTATCATTCAACCACATTAAAATATAGAAAATGCTAAACCTTCATACTTATTTTGTATTCAGACTATCACAAATCATAACACAGTGTGTGACCTCAACAGATACCCAGCCAGGCACAGTGACCACACAGGCCACTGTTTTGTTTCCTTTACTTACTTATTTTTAGGCCTGTAGGAACTCTATCATACTATGGTGGCTTTCCAACAAATAGAAATTGTTGTCACAACCCTTATCAGGCAGATATGATGACCATTTTACAGATAAGAAAACTAGAGCTCAGAAAGTTTAAGAAATTTGTTAGACAAGAACATATGGCCAAGAAGGGACAGAATCTAAAGTCATAACTAGTTCTGTCCTGACTTTAAAATTTATATTTTTTCCAAGAAATCATTATCTCCTGCATGCTTAAAATAAAAAATTTAAAAATAAAAAAAATATAAGCGAATTTCACCTTGAGTACAAAATTTCCCACCAATGCACAAATACTGTTGTTTTGCTTAAAATACGTCCCTTACGTAAGAGATGATTGCTAAAGACTTTTTCTTCCTGTGTTTGTTTGGTATTCCCTCTAGGGATGGTGCTACACCCAACAGTAGTGGCACCCTGGATGCTTGGGATGTGTTCACAACAAGTAGTAGTAGCTCATCCTCCTGGTTCATCTGGCAACACCTGTATAGGAAATATATGCTTATTTCCTGCACCACATGGGAGAATCTGCTACTTATAATTCCAGAGACTTTTCTAAAATCACCAGTCCTGCTCTGCCAGTTTTAAGCTATAGGTTCTTAAATTTTTCAGTAGCAACCCATCAGTGTGTTCAGATCCTGAGTCAGCCTCAAAAACCCCAGCAGCAGCTGGTAAAAATGGAATGCTAATTCATTACAGATGGTAAAACACACCCACATTTTCATTTATTTACATTTTCAGAAATTCTGAATCTGCACTATGATTGTCAAATGATTTTAACATGTAAGCTTAGCCTTTTTTGATTTGGTCCATGCTCAATAAAAATTAATGTTTATATGTTAAAAATTCTTTCAACAAGCCCAATTAGTTCTAAAGTCCCACAGTTTATATTTTAAAAGCTATTTAAGCTGGTGAACCTTTTCTGAATGTCTTATTATACAAATCATACACAGAGTCAGGAAAAACTAGGTTTAAATCATACCAAAATGTTTCCAGTAAAACTATTATATATGAGGATAATGTACAGCACCTTTATACATTCCACAATTGCCATGTTTAGTAATGTGAGACAAATAAATTGTTAAATTGTGAGATTATTAAATAGCTTTATAGGCCCTGCTTATGGTTTTTGTTTTTGCTTGTCAGTTAAGGTAATGGAGACAGAAAACACATTACTGTTTAATTTCTAAAAAGCAAGTGAACAGAGAAAGGATAGACCCAAAAGCAATGCTTACAGCACTGCTGCCCCCTCCTGGAATCAGTCATCTAACCCCACCTCCTCCATCTCTGAAACAATATTGAAGGTGAGACAGTTTAATTCTAAATAGTGAAACATTTAAAAAAGACTTCTAAGGCTTTATTTTTATCAATTCAAAGGTCTAGAAAGATACACAATTATCAGGTCATATATGATTCTGCCGATATCCTCAGTGCTTACTGAGAACAGAACAGATAACCTTGCTACCTACTTATTAAGAGAGCCAAGAGCACACATTTCTAGTCTTTAACCTTCCTACAGTTCAAAATTTCTCAATTTTTTACATGAACTCTTTTTTCTTGTTTCATCAGATGTCCCTAACCTTTTGCTCATCTAACTTTATCATCCTTTCCCATCTCTGAAAATGTTCACCCTGCAATTAAGATGCTTTTCTCCATTAATACCAAATTTTGCTTTCTATTTCCTTGTTCCTCCTAATGTAGAAACATGGAGAAACAGCTCTCAATGTAAAAACACTGTTTTGTCCATACAATTGCTCATTTCCCATACAATTTCCCCTCTGTCCATACTTAGGGACACAAAAAGGTAGCATTTAGGGTGCTTAGTAATCTCCCACGGATCCCAACCCCAGTTATTTACCTCTATATCCCAGGTCTGCTGCCCTTCTAAGCCTGTACAAACAGACATCATTCCAAGTAAAATCAGCACTGCTTTTCAAGCCATAGCTCCCCCCATCTGGGACTGCTGACCTTAAAACCCTTTACACAGAATTTTGAATTTGCCACTACTATTCCTTAATCTCCAAAATCTAACTACTTTGATTTCCTTGCCTTTCTTTAGTAACTAGGTTTGTCGCAATCCAACATCTTCTGCAATTACTAGAGCCTCCTGGATATTAAGAAAAGCTTGGCCATTTACATATTTTAAGACTCTAAGAATATTAAAAATTATGTAAGTTCAAGAATGTTACAAGAATTATAGTATGAAACAAGGCAGTGCCTTTTAAAATACTCCCAGAAACAGATATAGTAACACAGGCCTGGGTGGATGTGAGGGTAGCTCTGTGATCACCTCTGAGGGGCCTGCTCCCAGGCTCTCATTCTTGGCACTTACTGAAAATACCAGAATCATCAAGATCATGGGCTGCAGAACACCATTTCTTGGATATATAAATTTTGGAAAGTTATGAAACCTCTTTATGTCTCAGTTTCTCATGTGCAAAACAGGCAAATCACAGTACACACTTAATAGGATTCTCATGAGACTGCAGTTACAAACAACTTACAGCAGTGCCTGGAATATAATAAACATTCAATATGTATCAGCTGCCATTATGATTATTTTCATCTTCATCAGCATCATCCAAGTGTTTATAAATGCAGACTTCCAAGTCCTTTCCTAATCTTTCAGGCCTCAGATAAAATTATTAATTTTTCACAAACTTCCTGGTAGGAATTGCTCTCAAGACAATCAGTGAGCTCCTAGTTCTCACACCAAACAACTATTCTTAAATCTTATCCCATTCAACCTGGGTTGAAAAAAAAAAAAGCCAGCACTTAACCTTACCTCTTCAGTTTTCTGCTCCAAAGCTTGAATCCTAAAACTTCACTTGAACTAAACACTTATATGAATTAAGCTTTAGATGATACTTTGAAATGCACAGCTACATTTTTCTACAAAAAAGAGACTTATTTTGTTTTAGTTAATTCAGGCTCGGATAAAAAAACCACACTAGAAAATATATAGTAAATAAGAGCAATTTATTTTTCCTTCTAATTCTAGGTTGGGAAGTCTAAGTGCAAGCCATAAGCAAATTCTATGATGGTGCCTAGTCCTCACAGTTGGTCGCTGCCATGTATGCTCAGACGGCAGATGGAACAGGAGGGTGACCAAGCTCCTTCAAGCCTCTTTCCTGAGGGCGAGGCTCCCATTCTCACGTCCTCATCTCCCACAGGTTCCACCTCTTTATACCAACACACTGGGGATTAGATTTCTGCACATATATCTGAGGGGCACACACATTCAAGTCATAGTACACCAAGCCAAAGCTAAAACTGTTCTTTAAAATATGCTACTCCTTTTCTAATCTCTATTTTTGTTGTTGGTACATCTTTCCCAGTTACTCACACTACAAAATTCAGTCACTGTGAGGTTTCTTCATTTTGCAGTTTTTCAGAATCAATACCCTGAAATATTCTTTGGTTTCAGACTATCTTTTCCCAATAACCTCTGCCAAAATTTAAGTCCTATACCTGGGACATTTTAACAGATCAAGATCTACCTCACACCAACATCTTCCCTTTTCAAAACATATTTCCTATTGCAATCTGCATTATTTTCTAAAAGGATACATTCATTCATGTGTTCAGATTAAAAAAAGAAAAAAATTGATTTTTCCCCAATAATTACATAATAACAGTTAAGCTTCTTAGTATGGGACACTGGGCTTCAACAATGTGGTCCCCAAAGAATCCTACTGCACACTACCATGTACGTACCCAGCTGTTCAGGGTGCACAGTGTTCCTTCATCAAAACACACATGCCTGTATCTCATTTAGTATTTGTCTGTTCCATTTCTCAGCCTGGAATGGGACTGTCCTTTCATATCACTATCTAACACACTCCACAGGGCCTCTGAAAACAGTTTAAAGGTTACTTCTAGAATCCTGTACCATCTCGAAAGCCAAAATTAGTCTTTCTCTACACTCCAATGACCCTTTCTAAACTACTATTTTTGCTTAGTTCTGATAACAATTTTATCAAAAGTATAACAGTGAACTAACCCTTTAAAGAGATCAGAAAAGAGCACATTAGGAAAAGTAAGCTTGTTCAAAATAATAAGGAAAATATTGCTATTCTAAAATATATAC